GAGGCTGCAAAACGAGCGTTTCGTACGAGACTTCCTCCAAAAGTCACACGTCAAGTCTCCAAAACGAGCGTTTCGTACGAGACTTCCTCCAAAAGTCACATGTCAAGTCCCCAAAACGAGCGTTTCCGTACGAGACTTCCTCAAAAACTCACATGTCAAAGTCTGCAAAACGAACGTTTCGCACAAGACTTCCTCCAAAAGTCCAGCGGAAACACCCATCGGAGCACACACATCACGCAGCCCTGCCAAGCAGTTTCGCGATTCCAGCCCCTCCAAACGACACCCGCCCACACGCCAATCCCAATGTGACAGCGACATTCACCTCTACCACAACTCACAACCTCCCGATTCCCTGCGCCTGCCACGAATCTTTCCGCGTCCACACGTCTAACGCGCACAAAGTACTGCGCCTGCCACGAAATGTCACCTCCGTCACACATCGCAACCTCACGATTCCCTGCGCCTGCCACGAAAATCCCACTTCCACACCTCAAAGCCCGCACAAAGTCCTGCGCCTGCCACGAAAAGTAACAATGTCATCTCATGTGAGCTTCAACAAAATTTGCACCACACCACACGTTTGGAATGATTTCGACCCATTCTGAGCACACTCCCATCCACCAAAATCGGCATTTCAGCTGAGACTTGTCACGAAAACACAGCTTCGATGCCACACCCTGAAACGCAAATCCCAATGGCACGGCCACATCCAACACCCCAAAAACACGACTCTCCAAACGCTAATCCCAATGGAACTGCGTAGCAAACTGCGGATCTCACAAAACGCTGCGCCTGTGCAGCGAAATGCATCACGCTTCTTGCGCGACAAGTCATTTTCACGCAAATCACAATGGACTAGCGTCGCAAACTGACACGTGACACATCCATGAATAGTCACTTGCAAAAGCTTCCCCCAATGGCAGCGCCTTAGCGCTCTACCGCGGACGGTTGCGAACGGTTGCGGACGGTTGCGAACATAGAGACAACGGGTCGCGAACAAGGCTCTACCCCCAGACCCCCAAGAGTTAAACGAGAACCCTTCGCTACGCATTCGGGAAAAAAAACACACATTTAGCGATGTCGAATGATGGACCTCACAAGTGAATTGGAGCCTCCGGTAGTGCTGAATCGATTGGAAGTGAAGATCTTGGCCCCAAAAGATGCGAACCATAGCAACAAGAATCTATACTACTAACAATGGCATCGTTGGTCTGGCCGTATGGTCTCCCTAGGCCATGGGTCGCTGGGGGTCGGTGCAAACTGCCTGGCATGTGTCAATCTCAAACGGCGCTGGCCCGGTTTAAAGGGTCAGTATCATTATGACCATCCCTATGAATCCAAAGTTGCGCTATGTCATTATATAAAATACAGATTCTAGCACAGGATTGTAATTCAATGTAATTAACCAGCAGGCCCGCCAAAGACAACTATAGCACCATCTCTCAAAGCCACAGCTCGAACGATTCAATTGTCGGACCAACCGACAGTCGGGTCACACCCTTTGATTCAACCCAACTTGGCGGTGTTGAACAAATGCCGCTTGTTCAAAAATTCAACAAAACAAATTTCATGCAATTTACATACTCCGCAATTGGACACAAATTTCATTTGATGTTCAACTGGGCACGGACGTACGTTCATGTCTACCAAAGGGTGCACCAGCCTGTTCCAATGCACCCCTCCCGTCGACGATGCTCCGTTTACATTCTAATTTAGCACCAAGTTTATGTTAATAGTACATGATTGGATCGTCAGGGCATATCTTAATCTGCATGGGTCTGCAAGGAAGCAGGATTACAGTTGACACAACATGCCTTGGCCACTGCCTTGGCACAGGTCAACGTTCAAAGAGATTCAGTTGACCCAAGCACGTCACAAACTGCCTGACCTGTGGCAATCTGAGACGGCACTTCCTCTGAGAGGTCATGCCTGGCCTGTGGCAATCTCAAACGGCACTTCCTCTAGGAGGTCAGTATCATCATGACAATGTCTTGATCTGCAAGGAAGCACAATTACAGTTGTCGAAACATGCCTTGGCAGCTGACTTGGCACAAGTCAACGTTCCAGAGATTCAGTTGACCCAAGCA